CAACTCCTTGAAGTCAGGTAATGTGCAGCTTTCTTCATTTTTATAACTCCAACACCTGGCATAGTTCCTGGACTACAGTTACCATGTAATAAATGTTGGAAGAATAAAGGTCGGAAGGGGTTTGGTTTGACTGATAAAAAGCAAGAAAAATATTTTTCATGAAAATATCAGATACCAAATTCTATTTAACACTGGTTTAAATAGAATTTGCAGACATGATCTGGAATTTTCTTTGTGGACTTTGCTCTGTGACACAAAACAAAACAAAAAGCTTAAGTGCAACTTTGGAAATCTCTAAACTCTTCTGAGGTCTGTGGCCGGGGGAACCAATGTAAGCCAGTTATGCTGTGGATTGCTGCGGTTCTCTAAAAGGAGGTGTGAGTTTGGGCTAATTCTCACCAACTTCCTACGCTTGGGACCTTTGTTCTTCTCTACTTTCTACCCCACTGTGGCATGCTCTTTTTTGTAGGAGCTCATTTTATCTCAATATTCTTTTTCAAAACTTCCTTTTGTCTGGTAGTTGACATTATAGCAACTGGCAAATCACATCTGTTTTTTCACAGCAAGTCTGGTGCTCTGCAAGTCACTTTGGACGACTTTTTTTTGAGACAGAGTTTCATTCTTGTTACCCAGGCTGGAGTGCAGTGGTATGATCTCAGCTCACTGCGACCTCTGTCTCCCGGGTTCAAGCGATTCTCCTGCCTCAGCCTCCCGAGTAGCTGGGATTACAGGCATCCACCACCATGCCTGGCTAATTTTTTTGTATTTTTAGTAGAGACAGGGTTTCATGTTGACCAGGCTGGTCTTGAACTCCTGACCTAAGGTGATCTGTCTGCCTTGGTCTCCCCGAGTGTTGGGATTACGGGGTGAGCCACCATGCGTGGCCTGGATCACTCTTTATTGCCACACCCAGTTCCACAAAGTTTGTGCCCAAAGAGGGCATATGTACGTTTTAATAGCTAGTTTTTTCTTATGCGTGGTTGTGTCATAAAACCTTTCAGCTGAATGGGCTGCTTTGGTATTCCGGGTTTGGGATTTCTTTTTTAACAGTTTACTGCAGCAGCCATTCAATGTTTCTTCCTACTCTGTAACCATCCTCCTCATTTGAAATTCTCCTCTCTCTCACTGCTGACTTTGTAAACTCTACAGAAATAGGCAAACTTTGGTTTCAGAGGAGGGCTGTCCCTGGTGGGTAAAACTGGCACAAAGCTGAATTTGATGAAACTGAAAGAAATATAGCACCAGTAAAAAGGCTTCAGCACACAGCAACCTGTACTTGCTTGACTCTCACAGTCCCACGAGAGACAAACAGAGTGGGTGGGAAAGATCTGAGGCTGTCAGTTTGCTGGGGGTGGGGTTGAAAAAATTTTGGGGGTACTTTCCATGGCTCATAAAACACAAGGTTTCACCGGCAGGAAATTGCCAAGAAGTTTGCTGTATCTTTCTTTGCTAATTGCAAACTAGAAGAGGTAGCTTTACAACATCTCAAAATCCCCCAAGTGATTACAGCACTGTAGAAGCAATTGTAAGTCTTCCAAACTGAGCCAGAGAATAATGGCTACTGTTTATTGAGCACTTAAAGGGTGCAGGCACTGTGGTAACTGCATCACCTAACCTGGCTTATTGAAACCTCACTCTACTCTGAATGATACATGCATGGCCATCCTGGCTTTACAAGTGAGGAAACTAAGGTACAGAAAGAATAAGTGACTCCTTCCCTCACATATCATACTACAGTCAACTGATGGGCAGGAAATAAGCCTAGAAAACTTTCTTCAGATCCTGCAACCTCATCACTGAGGTGAACACAGTTGACTCTTATCGTTGGAGGACACATTGACAACATATTAATAACACTGATTTCAGCTGACGTTTCTCTGAAGCGTCCAGAGCTTTAGAGTTATTGTCACTGAGTAGTACTAAAACAAGTATCATTTATTTATTCTCTAAATGCCTATTGAACACTTACTATCTGCTCTTCACTGGCAACTCACCATGCCAATGCAGTTATTAGTAACTAATTTTTATTGAGTTAAATTTTTCACATGCTTTATTTCATTTAATCCTTGCACATATTTAAGGTAGGTGCTGTTATTGTCAGCTAAAGAATTGAATTGTATGGAGGTTATTTGTCAAACGCTGTTATCTACGCTGCTGTCGTAAGTGGTGAAGCCAGGATTTGAACCCAGTTTGATATGACCCCAAAATTAATGTTTTAAAGACAAAGTAAAATTGTGGGTTATCCATAATTTTAAATTACAATTAAATTTAATTGGGCATTAAATTGGGGAAATGGAAAAAGGGGAAGGTACATGGAAGAAAGGTCTGAACTACTGTACGCTATTTTAAAAATTTCCTCAATACATTTTTACAAATAGGCTAGAGAATCTCCTATTCAACATCTTCATTTGCCGTTTTTGCAGCTCCTGATTTATAGACCAAACATTCTATTACTCTAGAGTGAAGTGTACAAACCTGCTGTTTTGGCAGCTCACCAACCACAGAACCCAGGACTCTCTGCAGCTGGCTATTTTTCTCTTCTTTCGATCTTCAGGGACTAAACTTAGTGCTTAATGAGACGACATGGATGCACTCAATTCTGCAGGTGACCCATGTCAGAGCTAACGCACATTCATGTAAATGAAGATGGTCCCAGGAATCCAGAGAAACCAGATGATTCAATTAAATATTCTACATGTTTCCTTAAGAAGGAGTTTACAGTGACAGTAAGATGCCTGAACCACGACAAACCTTCTATAGAAGACGTTTCCAACAGTTTAGATTTGGTCATTTTATGCTGAAGCAAGTTAAGTAGATTTTGCCATTGGGATGAGAAGCTATGGGATCCACTTTGAACTTGACATGCCACCTTGTGGAAATTGGAGGCAATAAAAAATGTGGCCATTGAATACTACTCCATGATAATTGTATGATACAGGCTAACATTTATTGAGGGTTTACTATGTGCTGTGCACTATGTGGAACACCTTTTAAGTGTTACTTATCAAAACAATCTTATGAGGTAGGTACTATTGTTCTCATTTTAAAGAGGAGTATGTGGCTTAGAAAGGTAATGGCCTGAAGTCCGATGCATAAAAGGCAAAACGGATGTTCGTAGAAGGGTTAGAGGGTTATCTCAGTGTGGCTTTTTTTTTTTTTTTTTTGTCTGCAGAATTATCTCACGTGATCACTAGTCTCTTCAAGTTCTCATCTTCTTCATCCTCTCTCATGCACAGATAAGGTTTTTTGTTTTGTTTTGTTTTTGAGACAGGGTCTTGCTCTGTCACCCAGGCTGGAGTACGCTGGTGCGATCGTGGCTCACTGCAACCTCAAACTCCTGGGCTCAAGTGATCTTCCCACTTCAGCCTCTTGAGTAGCTGAGACTATAGGTGCACACCACCATGCCCAGCTAATTTTTAAATTGTTTGTAGAGGCGGGTCTCCTTTTGTTTCCTGGACTGGTCTCAAACTCCTGGGCTCAAGTGATCCTCCTGCCTCAGCCTCCCAACATGCTGGGATTTGATGTGTGAGCCACTTTGCCCAGCCACAGATAAGTTTTAAAGTCCAGATGACCTGGATCTTAAGCCTTGGCTTTCCCCCTGTGTAACCCTGGGCTAGATACTTAACCTGAGTCTCATTTTCCTCATCTGCAGAACAGGGGAAATATTGACACACGTAACCATGCTCTGTTTCAGAAAGTACTTAATACATAAGTGGTGTAACAACTCTGAGGATAAATGAGATCTAAAATAAAGATTCACTGTATTAAATGCCTTTTATGTGCTGAGCACAGTTCTAATCTAAGCACTAGGCATCGAAGATAACAGTGGCCCTGGGATGGGATAAATTCTAAGGCAAAATAGTAGTTAAGAGCCTGGACACTGGAGTTGGACTACCTGGCTCTTACAGTGATATGTTACTAATTTCTCTAAGCTTCCATTTCTATATCTGAGTTAGTATCTACATGGAAGGTCCCTTGAGGATTAACAAATTAAAATATACTACACTGTTTAACATAGTACCTCATACATAGTAAGCACTCAATGAGTATTAACACTGATTTATTGCTTCGTGATATACTTACTCACTACATCACTTACACCAAAATCATGAAGGCATACTTGACTGACACTTGGTTACTTTGAATACCATGTTTACTCAATTTTGTCTCCCAAATATTTAAGTAGTTTTTTTTTTTCATTATCTCCTGTCATCATCTTAGTTATGACTGACATTTATAATATTGATTACAGAACTAACTTGCCAAATGGGCTCCCTGACTCAAGCAATCCTCCCACCTCAGCCTCCCAAGTAGCTTGGACTACAGGTGTGTGCCACCATGCCAGGCTAATTTTTGTATTTTTGTCAGAGACACGGTCTCACTAGGTTGCCCAGGCTGGTCTCGAACTTCTGGGCTCAAGCAATCCGCCTGCCTCACCCTCCCAACGTGCTGAGATTACAGGCATGAGCCACTGCCCATGGCCAGTATGATCGTTTCTATTCTGGTCCAGGAAAATAACTCTAAATGGAATTTTTTTCACCTCTTCTATTTCATATCAGTCAAGGTATTTCATATTAGGTCCCACTCAAAGATAGCATGAGGGATTCTTTAAATGCATAGTTTTGCCAACTCAAGAGAAAAGGAAACCTTAGAGGCTTGATTCTAAATGCCCATTCTGGGAAAGTAGTATTTAGCATGAAGCAACCATAATTCATGCTTGCCATTCAGACAGGAAGTGGTTAGATTAATCTTTCAGCAGATGTTTTCTGAAAGCTGAAATAACTTCTCATGCATTGCCACTCCTGTAGCTTGATCACAACTAGAAAGGGTAGGCCAGGTCACATACATCTTCATTTTACTCGTTTCTTAAAGAAAAGTGTGATTAACAAGGTGATAAACTGAAGCAGTAACAGCTTCTATATAGAAACATGTTTTAAAATATTAGTTGTTGGCACCAGGCATCAAACAATGTTGGCAAGCACTGAAAGCAAACAAACAAATTACTTTTAACAAAAGCAACAATTTTTATTATCTTGCTTTATATTTAATGGATTAGAACTATAAAAAGATTCTTACTTTGTAAGCAGAAATATAAGTTGGATAGGATTTGCAGATCCTTAATACCATTTTAAATTTCATTTATGACCCGCTACATTATAAATGAGATGCTCTAAAATAATAATCGTTTTTGTTGTTGTTATAGAACAATGAGAATTCCTGTTAGGAACACAGGTTACTGTTTACATTTGCTTGTTCTCTTAAATAGTATGAGAAAGAAGTAAGGTGGAGCTGTTGGGAAAGCCCATCGTGGACCTTTGGAGATTATCTTCTTGGTTCAGTCATCTCCACCACAGATTTTTAAGAGTGTGATTTCATAGTCTCCAGAAGTATCCGACTGCAAAGAACAAAATAAATGAAGAACACACACAGTATAAATAATGGGAGACCATAAATGAATCAAATCCTATAGCACTAGGGAATTCATGTGAGACTCATGAGCTATACCATTTAGTAAAATGTACCTGCAATTCCATCATTCATTCATACCTGAGTGCAATTATGTTCTGACCAGGATCTTCTTCACAGTAAATAACACTTAGATTCTTCTTGATATATTGTAGTTACATGTCAATTTGGGTTTAATAAAATAAGATTGCATCACTTACATAACATCAATTTCTAAAAAAACTTCAAAAGATTATAGTTCTAATAATATTTATAAAACACTTGCTATTCAAAAGGCTTAATGTGTATTAGCTACTTTAACCCTTTTAAAAGCTCTCTGCAATAGGTACTATACATATCCCCCATGTAATAGATAAGTAAAATGAAAAAAACAGGTTAGGAAACTTGCCCCAAATCTTATTGAGAATAAGTGACAAAAGCAGGATTTGAATCCCTGTATCCTGGCTCCTTAATACCCTGCTACACTGCCTGACTTAGGAAAGTGAAATGAACCACATTTTTAAAGAATATGTTTGTCAGTTCCTTTTCCCAAGGCCAACCAAAAATAGATTGTTGTTCAGAAAAGATACCGTGTGAGGTTGAGGCTTAAAGGGCAAAGATAGCAAGTTTGTAATGCAAAAGACTTCATAGGAGGTAAAACTTGGCTTTCAACCTGGATTGTGTAAGATGCTCACATTATTTTTATTTTATTTGAGGCAACCCAACCAGTGAGCACTTTTTATCACTTAAGTTTCATATTTGAAACGGCTGTCACTGGGGTAAATATTAGAGTAAGTGGTAATATAAAGGAAGTCTCAGAGAAGGCTCATTTAGTGAAGAAGTTAAGCATTACTTTCATAGTAAGACAGAATAGGCATTTATATATATTGTTCTGTTTTCTTTATTTCTTGTTCATTTGTCTGTTTCACAAAATA